TGCCTTTCAGTGCCCATCAGTGATGTCTGCCAATGCCCACAAGTGACGCCTGTCAATGCCTATCTTTATGGGTGTAAAAGCAATCAGTGTAAAAAAAAAAAAATCTTCATCACCCCCCACACGTAGTACAGTGTCACTATGGTGACACTGTACTGTTAGGGTGACAGTATGTTAAAAAAAACAAACATAAATAATAATATAAAAAATAAAATAAAAATGTTTAAAAAAATTTTTTAAAATTATAATTTTTGGTTATAAACTAATTTGGGTTATTTTTTTTTTCACTAAAAAGATAGCTGAATACATTTTGGCCAAGATTTATGAAGAACGATTATTTATTTGCAAATTTTTATTTAAAAAAACACCTTTTTTCAAAATTGTTGAACTTTTTCATTTATATAGCAAAAAAAAAAATTTAAATCCCAGTGGTGAATAAATACCACCAAAATACATTTTTATCTGTCTCAAAAAATGCTAAAAAATTCATATGAGTACAGTGTTGCATGACAGCGCAATTGTCATTCTCTGTGATAGCACTGAAAGCTGAAAATTGGCCTGGACAGGAAGGGGGTAAAAGTGTCTGGATTTGAAGTGGTTAAACAGGATAAAATCCTGATCTGAACCTGATCTAAACCTGAACCCCTGAACAACTTCTGTGTCAATTAGCATTGAAACCTGAGCTTCAATCCGCACTGCACATGTGTGAATGCATGTTGTCATGTTAAATAAACAAAACAAAACAAAAAGATTGTGTACAGCTTCATCAATGGGCTGATGAGGAGGATACTTGAATACATGAATGTAAATTACATAATCTGACTAATTTGAAAAGGTAAGAAAATTACGCTGAGGTGCTAATTATCATCATTCAGATTTAATGTTTGGAAAATACACAATAAGAGCTTTATTTTGAAAATGAAGCTGTCTCAAAAAAAAATGATATGAACACATTTGGATATTTAGTGACTGTTAAACAGGTTTATTAAGTAAAGAAATGCAGAGAACAAGAATGGTCCTCACCATACATCAACCAACAAATGAAATGCGATTTGTTTCTACAAAAGGTTGCTTGTTTGTGAATAGGCCTAGATATTTTACCATGGCAAATAGACGTATCAGCTTCTTGAAGCAATAACCTGCCGTTGACCTTATTTATCAAAGTGAGGGAAAGGCAACTGTCCATACAAAGCAATCAGATTCAGACTTTCAGATCCAAACTATTTGTAATCTAATTTGTAAACAATCTCTCCACTGGCTTCCCATTGCCCAAAGGATAAAATTCATAACATTAACAATAACATATAAAGCCATTTATAACTCTGCCCCAAATTACATCACCAATCTTGTCTCCAAATATCACCCAAACAGTCCTCTGCACTCCTCGCAAGACCTCCTACTCTCTAACGCCCTTGTCTCCTCCTCCCATGCTCATCTCCAGGACTTCTCCAGAGCTTCCCCCATCCTCTGGAACTCTCTACCCCAATCTATCAGACTATCGCCTACTCTGCTTACTTTTAGACAATATCGGAAAACCTATCTCTTCACTGAAGCCTATCCTGCCCTCAGCTAATAATGGAATTTTCTACTCCTCCTACCAGTCCATCCCCCACAGTTACTACCCTTTTGTACCACTAGCCCCTCCCTCCTAGATTGTAAGCTCCAAGGAGCAGGGCCCTCCTAACCCTCTTGTATTGAACTGTATTGTTGCTGTATTTGTATCCCGTTATATTGTAAAGCGCTGAGCAAACTGTTGGCGCTATATAAATCCTGTATAATAATAATAATATTAGGCATTATAAAGGGGTGTTATCCCGTATAATTCAATAGAAGAGGAATTTGCGTTTTATCCAAGGATTTTTATCTAGTGCCATTAATCTTTTTCTGCTGCATATGTTTCATTTCAGTCAACTTTTTTTTTTTTAATTTTCCAAATAGAATATTGTAACGTAAGGATTGCCATAACGTTTTTTTTTAAAGCACTTCAAAATTATGCACTGAAAAAGAAGCAAGTTGGTTGGTAGTCAGTGGGGCATCTCATTTTATTGGGGCATTAGTGAACACTTGTAAACCAAGCAAATGTGTGTAGCTGTGAACATTGTACAATAATTATTGTCAGATGGGCCGCTGGCCATTTGTTGAAATGTCAGAATTGCTACGAGGTGGCCTGTTTGACTGTATAGAATTGTTCCCTCTGTAGCTGAGACATTAAGATTTCACTCCCACCACTAGCGATCGAGATTCAGCAGTTTTCATGCCAGCAAAAGAATGACATCTTGCTAGAGAGGGAATGATTCCATAGAGACAGACAAGCAACCTCTTTAGTGATCCGTAGGCTGGCCATACACTGGTCATTTTTTTTCGTATTTCAATGTTTTTATTAATTTATAAACAATTTAAGCAGACAGGAGCAACAAAACATGCCTACGCAGGGGCTATCAATTGCACATAAAAAAAAACAGTGCTCTAACACCAACAGAGCAAAAGGTGCGCCCACGCAGGGGCTATCAATGGCACATAAATGACAAAAACATTGGTATAACATCGACAATAACTCAAACCAAAGGCAGCTATCCACTGCCACACCAAAAGGTCATTTTATTTTTGTTCAGTGGTTTGAACAAAAGAAAATGAGTGGATTCCCTCATACAAACACTGGATGTGGATGAGGGAATCCCTCCCACTGAGTCATTGTATTCTGACAGCAGGGAGATTTCCTCACTGTCAGAATACACCCATCAGTACTGGCGGCTATAGCCGACGGCGCTGATTAAGAGAAAATTTTCCAACAGGTCTGCCCATACATGGATCGAAATTCGTCCGTCCCTGCTGAATTTAGATCCATGTATATCGGACTTAAGTATTATATCCAATCTACTGGGCTACAGTAAAGTGGTAGTAAACTCGTTTTTTCAAATTTTACCTACAGGTAAGTGTATAATAAAGCTTACCTGTAGGTAAAATGAATAACTATGCATGTTTAAGAGATATTTTCTCTTTTCTAAATCCAGCGCGTGCGCTCTGAAGAAACGGCATACCCGTACCGTTCCTTCAGAGTTGTGTACCGTGACCTGGGACTCCCACGCAATGGAGTGACGTCATCATGGCCCAGACGGCCGGAGCTCGCAAACCCGGAAGGAAGACCTGGTGAAGATGGAAGCCTCTGCAGCGGCACCACTGGAGGGCTTTGTTTTAAGATAAGTTTTACATAATGTGCTAGTATGTGATGCATACTAGCACATTATGACATTACTTTGCAGGGGACTTTTTTTTTTTCCTGCGGTTTACTGCCTCTTTAACTTTGGACTGATTACAAATGGAGTTATTTTGTATACTATAAATATTTATATGCAGAATTATGGCAACCTTTTCCTGTACCTCTTTGGTCTAGCTCTTCAAATATTGTTTATTGTTAGCTCTGAAGAATTGAGTGCAGGTCCCTGAAACGTATTGGTTCCCTGTCAATAAACATGTTCAGTTGTTTTCAAAGATCACTGCCTGCTGTGAGTCTGTGTTGAATACATGCAATGTCCTTTAATAATTTCCAGTCTTGATTGAATTGTTTCATTTGAAGTATTTCTTTGATGTGACTTCTTACCTCTCTCTAACAATCCATTTGCATGTAGCTGCAAACATGAGCATGGTCTAGAAGTAGCATCAGCTGGGGGAATAGGGAGATATCTTATGTTTAGGCATATCTTAAGTTTTCTTCAAGAGGTGCTCCAGTCTCCCCCCAAAAAATGTAAATTCAGTAGCTAAAAATACTGTAGTTGCTGACTTTTAATATAAGAACACTTACCTGTCCAGGGATCCAGTGTTGTCCTCACCGGAGCTGATTCTTCAATTGGCTTCGGGTCCAGGTGCCAGCATCTTAAAGTGTTACTAAACCCACAACAGTAAAATCAGTCTGTATATGCAGCAAAGCATGTTTGTTATACTCACTGTGGAACCTAAGGGGTTAATCCTCTGCATTGTGTAAAAAGACTGTTTGATCCTGTTTTCTCTGCCACTCCTCTTGTTCAGATGTCCACCTGATAAGACAGACTGAACCCGCAGCCACATGCACATGCTCGGTTTAGTGTGTATTGCTAGAGAGTTTTTTTGTTTTTGTTTCTTGGAAGAGTGCATGTGATCAGCATAGGGCTAATCAGCACTGTCCAGACAGAGGGTCAGGGGTTTGGCATCCTCCTAGAGCAGAAAGAAAACTCCTCCTACAAGCTTTAACCAGTGCTATGCAAGACTGCTATGCACTGCTGATGAGAAAAGGTATTTAGCAGTTTATATTTGCTAAAATAATTGCATTTCCATGTTCTGTGTACTGTGGGAGACCAGATATAGTGAATGCAGGGTCCTGGGTTTAGTAACACTTTAACTAAGGGAAACCGGCAGTGAAGCCTTGCAGCTTCACAGCCGGTTTCCTGCTGCACATTGTGAATGGTCCCGCAGTCTTCTGAGAACTGTGATGTGTCACAGAAGGCTGCGGGGGAAGGGGGGTCAAAAAAGGTACCCTCTCCCCCCTTCCAAAAGTTCCAATTGTTAAAGAGCACAGTGGCTAATTGGTGAGCACTTCCGCCTGGCAGTACTAGGGTCGTTGGTTTGAATCCCAACCACGGCAGCACCTGCCTGGAGTTTGTATGTTCTCCCTTAGGGACCTTAGATTGTACACCCCTCGAGGGTTAGGTACCACTGTGAATGTACAATATATGAGTAAAGCACTGTGTAAATTGACGGCGCTATGTAAGTACCTGAAATAAATAAAGAGAAGGGGGAGGATGCAAACAAGCAGAACATCCCCTTTTGGGTGAAGTTCCTCTTTAAGTGTAAAAAAAAATAGAATTCAGCATATATCTTGCTATAACTTAAAAATGTCGCTATTATTACTTATTAAAGTTTGCTGAGATAAAGAAGCTAATGATAAAGGTTGAGTAGGCAAATATCTAAAAAATACAAATGCCATGCAACAGATGAAAACATGCTCCCATGCAGGGGCGGACTGATAACTCATGGGGCCCCCGGACAATAGGGGATCATGGGGCCCCTGTGTCCTTGCCCAAACTCAAAAAAACCTATGAAAAAGGTACCAGGGGCATCTCATGGGGCCCCCTACTGACCCTGGGCCCTCGGGCGGTGCCCGAGTTTCCAAATGGTCAGTCCGCCCCTGGTCCCATGTTACACGCGGGTCTTGTTCACAACAGATGTATTTTGCACTGTTTTGCTGCATTTTCTACCTTTTCACACTTTATTGGGGCCCATGCCCAAAAACGTGCAGCATTTCAGTATATTGGAAAAAGTCATGTATTGTGTAATTCAAGTCAATGGAAAAGGGGTCTTACAAAACTGTGCCTATAAAACATGTAATCAGTCATTCAATTGTGCAGTGTGGTATAAGTGCTAGAAGATAGACACCTAAAAACTGCTTGCTGCTTCCCTCCCTGTTGACTGCTTATGAAAGCCCATGCATTCTTTTAGACAAGGAATACATTGTCAAGTGAAAGAGGATTGTTTTGCTGCCAGTACACAGTGCTGTCTTTGCAAACACATCATTTTTTTGATTGCATAAATACATTTTGTACATTCCAGCTACATGTCGGAATAACTTTGTTTCATGTGTTCCTCTGATCTGTCTTCACTTCTTCCCTGCTTTAACCTTGTCTCATAAATGACACACTGAAATATACCAGGAATGAGAGGTGAATCATGATGACCTTTGTTTTGATTGGTGACTGATTGACAATTACTTATTTTTGATATTTATAATTCACTTTAAAATGCACTTCCTTATAATATTGCATTATTTATAGCATTTACTTATTATTAAAGGACTTCATATAAGAGCATCAATACATTATTATTATTATACAGGATTACATGTTTTCGTTACTAATGCAGACAGACGTAATTTAAATCTGAGCTCCAAGAAAACAGCTGAATAGCCAAATGAAATGCATATTTTGGGGAGCCGTTTTACCTGCTAAAGAGTTTTCATTTCTGTCCATCCAGCTCTATGATTTACCCAGCTCCGCCACACTGGACAGCTATGTCTGGCAGTACAGGAGACCTAATTTTTCTCTGCTGTGGTTCAGCAACATGTACAGATTATGTTCCTGCATAATCGAAGAGTGAAAATATAAATGAACTAAAGCCGGCCATAGATGGATTGAAATTCGTCCAGTTCAGATAAATTTTGATCAATCTGTGGCCATTCCTGTTTATGAGAAGCTGATCTAACAATTAACTTCTCGTGAATGGGCTTGTTGGAAAATGTTGCTTCAATTAGAGCATGCAGCCAATCGGCTGATCAGTGTATTCTTATGACAAGGGAGTCCCAACTGTCAGAATACAATAGCTCAGCAGGGAAGACTCCCCCATTTATTTTGATTGTATGGATGGGGGAACCAGTTCAGTTTTTTTTTTTTAGTTCAGCCAACTGAAAACAAGCCACATATGGCCAGCTTATTAAGCTCTCTCCATTACTCCCAGTCTTCCAGTTATGTGGCAGCCAATCAGAATGGTCACATGGTCACTGATTTTCAGACCCCATTAAAGGGATCCCAGGGCTGGGCTGGAAGGGGTTAATGAATACAGAACTGCAGTAATATGTATTTTCTATCCGCCCGTGGTTCCATTTTAAAGCCATACTCTTCAATTATTTATTTATTTCAGGTACTTATATAGTGCTGTCAATTTACGCAGCGCTTTACATCTATATTGTACATTCACATCAGTCCCTAACCCTCAAGAGGCGTACAATCTAAGGTCCCTAACTTAAATTCATACATACACATACTAGGGCCAATTTGGACAGGATCCAATTAACCTATCAGCATTTCTTTGGAGTGTGGAAGGAAACTGGAGTACCCGGAGGAAACCCAAACAGGCACAGGGAGAACATGCAAACTCCAGGCAGGTGGTGCCGTGGTTGGGATTTAAACCAACGACCCTAGTACTGCCAGGCGGAAGTGCTAACCATTTAGCTACTGTGCTGCCCCAATTGATGCAGTGTATGGGGAACAAACAATACTTACAAAGTTCAGTATGTGGCAACAGTCAGAAATTCAATAACTAAGATTATTATTATTATTATACAGGATTTATATAGCGCCAACAGTTTGCTCAGCTCTTTACAATATAAAGGGAGACAGTACAGCAACAATACAGTTCAATACAAGAGGGTTAGGAGGGCCCTGCTCCTTGGAGCTTACAATCTAAGATGACTATTACTGTGTGTTAAAGTGTTACTAAACCCAGGACCCTGCATTCACTATATCTGGTCCCCCACAGTACACAGAACATGGGAAGTGCAATTATTTTAGTAAATATAAATTGCTAACACAAGAAAGAAAAGCAAAACCAGAATTCAGGTCCATAAACGTCCTAGGAACACGGTAACGGTCACTCACTGAAGTGCAGTCCTCTAAAGATCTGGGAATCTTTTTTGCTCTTTTCAAATATAAATTGCTAAATACCTTTTCTCATCAGAAGTTAGAGCAGTCTTGTGACTTCTATCAGTGTCCAGCCCACCACTAGCTAAAGCTTGTAGGAGGAGTTTTCATTCTGCTCTAGGAGGATGGAGATCCCCTGAACTCTGGACAGTGCTGATTGGCCCTGTGCTAATCACATGCACTCTCCCAAGAAAAAACAAACAAACCTCTATAGCAATACACACCAAACTGAGCATGTGAATGCCTACGGTTCATTATGGAGATAAGAGGTGGTCGCTTGAAAAAGGGGAGGAACAGAGAAGAAAGGATCAAACAGCCTTTTTACACAATGCAGAGGTTTAACCCCTTAGGTTCCACAGTGAGTCTAACAAGCATGCTTTACTGCATATACAGACTGATTTTACTGTTGTGGGTTTAGTAACTCTTTAAGTATTTCAGGATTGCCCATAAGCCATTCTTTCTAAACCTGTTATATTTGAACAAGGTAAGCTTTTCTTACTATTTTGTCTGCTATCTTTCAGCTGAGGAAGTGGAGAGACTGGCTGCAATGCGCTCTGAATCCTTAGTGCCCGGTACCCACACTCCACCAATTAGGAGAAGAAGTAAATTTGCCACTTTAGGAAGACTTTTCAAGCCATGGAAATGGAGAAAGAAGAAAAGTGAGAAATTCAAGCAAACATCTGCAGGTAACATATTAAACAATATAAACCATGAATACATTGCGAGGAGCACTAATATTGTTGAGTCAATATGTTGTTTTTCATAAAACCTTTTGTTTTTTTTAGACATGGCTGGACACATTCTAGTTATTTGGTGTTTCTAAATAAGAGTGGTTGCTAAGTTTTGGGATTCAGTTCTAATTTTTAAAAAGGATGCTTCTAGTGAGGGTTTAAAGCCTCACTCCAAACAAAATTGTTCATTTAGTCTTCAATAGAGTGGGGAAAAAATTAAAAATCAAATTAGGTTTTTTATCTGTCCACGAACCCACTGTTAGATGTTTCCTTACTTCCTGTCCAAGTGACACTGGTGCAAGAAATAGGGGGTTCATTAGCCACTGGGACAGGAAGGCACAGACAGCAAAAAAACATTGTCAATGATTCTAACCTTTCTTAACTAAAAATCTGTTTTTCTTCTTGTCTATGTTCCCATTAGAGAGATACCCCCCTCCCCTCCTTCTGTTTTGAAATAGGGACCATTTTTTTTTGTCAAAGCTTAGATGAACAAGCTGAAGTTAGAAGCTGATTGGCTACTATGTACAGCTGCACCAGATTTTCACTTAAAGTAGCACAATGTTAAAGCCGCGGACTGGTGCAATTTCAAGTGCGACTTACCTGCCATCTGTGTGACTTCATGCACAGATGTCAAAGTCGCACCTGAAATCAGCAAAAATAGTACAAGAACTATGTTCAAAATTGGTGTGCATCTGATGGATTTGCACCGATTTGAATGGTTCAATTGCGGACAATAGGGTGCAATTTGTCCTGCAATTTGGAACTGTGAAATCACATGACAAGTCGCACCAGTGTGAACCAGGGCTAAAAGATACAGTTATGCTTTTAACACGTCCTGCCTGAAGATAATGAACCTTGATGCCTAGTGTTTGGTATACCCCTATTTAGTGCCATGTTATCAATCACTGCCTCAAGTTATGCTGCTTGAAACTATGTTCAACTCTACAGTTGCAAAATGTATTTGATCAGGCTTGATCAAGAAACCAGAGAATTTTATATGAATAGCTTGTGATTTTTGGCAGAGGTAACTCATCTGCCTACCCAACTGGCATATCACATAAACTCGATAATTAAGCAGCATCCTAAAAAATATTTTTCAAATAGATTTTTGGAGTGAGCAATCATGTAATGAATAATACATATTATGTCTCCGTGGAGATCATATCACAGATACCTAGTGGCTCTCTCAGCTTATTTTTGATTTGCAATAATCTTTACAGATAATTTCCAACAGTTTCTATATCTTGTTCCTATTTCATTTTCTTGGATTTTGAAATCTGAAATGGAAATTGCATACAAGAAAATAAACTGCTGTCCCAAAAAACTGACATTGGCTTGGACATCTGGTTTAAGCATTCTCTTTGGCAGAGATAATTAACAAGTAAGAGTATGCCAAAAGCAAGCGCTATCGGACAGAAGTGTGATAGGTACTTGGATGGAGAGCAGCTGATCATGTCTATATTATATCGCAGTCAAGTCTAGTTCTGTTGTTGAGAAATTATTGCCAAAAGTGACCAAAGGCCCAACAATTCCACTGTAGTTTTTGTAATTCATTATATGACAACAAAAAAATGTTACTGCTTACTGATAATAAAAAAGTTTATGTATCCTTTTGCTAAATACAAGGGGGTCGTCAAAACGTTTCCGCTCTTTAACTCTATTAACCATTTGCCGTCCGCCTGCTGTTTATAAACGGCAGGACGGTGGCACTCCAGGGGGCGGGTTGCCGTTCATAAACGGCACCTGCCATTTCTAGCTGTGCGCGCTCCCTGGGAGCGCGCAGCACCGCGATCCAGTGCCCGCTGTGTCTTCTGGACACAGTGAAACACCGATCGTCGGATGGGACCTCTGTACGAGGTCCTGATTATGTGATCACTGATTGGCCAATCAGTGATCACATGCAAATTAGTAAGCAAGATATCACTTGTGACATCATTGCTTACTACGTGTGAAATCTGTGAATGATCACAGAGGTCACATGGTACAAGGCTATTCACAACAGCCTTGTACCACGTGACAAGCTGTGACCAATCACAGCTCACTCAGTAGTTCTCAATGGCTGCAAGAATGCAGACAGAGAGAAAGAGAAATTATTATTATTATTATTATACAGTATGTATAAAGCGCCAATGGTTCGCTCAGTGCTGTACATTACAAAGGGGGACAGAAGATGTGACAGAACAATACCAATACAATGCAAAACATGAGGGGATCAAGGGCCCTGCTCTTTCGAGCTTACAATCTAGGGTATCCTATATGGGTGTAAAAGCAATCACTGTAAAAAAAAATAAAATATTCATCACCCCCCACTGCTAGGGTGACAGTATGTAAAAAAAAAAAAAAAAAAAACATAAATATTAATATAAAAAAAATAAAATAAAAATGTAAAAGAAATGTTTAAAATTTATAATTTTTGGTTATAAACTAATTTGGCTTATTTTTTTTTTTTTTACTAAAAAGATAACGGAATACATTTTGGCCAAGATATACGATGAAAGATTATTTATTTGCAAAATGTTATAGGAAAAACACTTTTTTTTCAAAATTTTTGGACATTTTCATTTACATAGCAAAAAAAAATTAAAATTCCCAGCGGTGAATAAATACCACCAAAATAAAGCTTTATCTGTCTCAAAAAAATGGTAAAAAATTCATATGGGTACAGTGTTGCATGACCGTGTAATTGTCATTCAAAGTGTGATAGCTCTGAAAGCTGAAAATTGCCCTGGACAGGAAGGGGGTAAAAGTGTCCGGACAGGAAGTGGTTAAGAATTTCAAAAACAATGTGACAACTCTTATACTAAACTGTAAGGTCAACCAGCTTGCCAGACAGACTAGACACATGACACTGTCAGATATGACTAATTACTACTCCCACCCTTACCGAAAATGTAAAAGTGCGGAAACTTATTGAAGAACCCTCATAATAGCCACCTAGTTGATACCCATAGTAGGCCTATTCAGAATTTATTTAGTTGCACTTATCAGTGAGCCCACTTCTCAGAGGTCTTCTGCCCAGCACTGCGCAGCCTCTACTGCATAACCTTTGTCATCATCCAGTGTCCCTTGCACATATGCATCGTAGACGTATTTCATTTTGAGAAACAGTCTAAATACTCTGCCTGTTCAGCAATAGAAAGGGCACTTAAAAAATATACTGAGGTAAGCAACAACAAAAGGTGTGAAATGTGATAGAGGAGGTAGTGCTAACATCAACCACTATAGCTTCTAGACATAATAAAAACTGACCCTTTTCTCCCTTGCTTTTTTTATTATCTATTGAACCTTTGGGACTTCTACTTAGTTGATACTAGTTAATGGAATAGAAACCATGATTATCATCACAAATTGTGTAAGCTCGCAGACAATGTTATTCTTTTGCTTACTAACCCCCATTGTATTTTTACCCAACCTATTCCATCTTCTAGAACAGCTTGTGTCACTCTTGGGGTTCCACGTGAATAGTTAAAAATCTAAAGTCCTCAAGATTAACCTTCCTCCTTACATGTCCCAACAAATTCAAGATAAATTTAGGCTTACCTGGAATCTCAACAAACTTTGCTACTTTAGTGGTCATCTGGCTAATATGTAGGACACTTTGTATTAGTCCAACTACAAATTCAAGATAAATTTAAGCTTACCTGGAATCTCAACAAACTTCCCTACTTGAGTGGTCATCTGCCTAATATGTAGGACACTTTGTATTAGGCTAGGGGTCTCCAAACTTTATAAAGGAAGGGCCAGTTTACTGTCCTTCAGACTTTAGGAGGACTGTGGCCAGTGGGAGAAGAAAATGTCCTGGCATCAGTGGGAGTAAAAAATGCAAAAACATTGGTATTAACGGGAGATATAGTGCCCCATCACTGGTATCAATGGGAGGAATAGTGTCCCATTGTTGGCGTCAGTGGGAGGAATAGTGCCCCATTATTGATGTCAGTGGGAGGAACAGTGCCTCATCATTGGTATCAGTGGGAGGAATAGTGCCCCATCATTGGTGTCAGTGGGAGGAATAGTGTCCCATCATTGGTATCAGTGGGGGGAATAGTGTCCCATCATTGGTGTCAGTGGGGGGAATAGTGTCCCATCATTGGTGTCAGTGGGAGGAATAGTGCCCCATCATTGGTGTTAGTGGGCAGAATAGTGCCTTATCATTGGTGTCTGTGGGAGGCATAGTGCCCCATCATTGATGTCAGTGAAAGGAATAATGCCCCATCATTGGTGTCAGTGGGAGGAATAATGCCCCATTATTGGTGTCAGTGGAAGGAATAGTGCCCCATTGTTGGTGACAGTGGTGAGAACTATGCCCCACTGTTGCTGATGGTTGGGAGAATAATGTCCAAAGGGCTGGATAAAAGCAAGAAAATGGCCAGATCCAGCCTCCGAGCCGCAGTTTGGAGACCACTGTATTAGTCCAACTACAAATTCAAGATTATTTTAAGTTTACCTGGAATCTCAGCAAACTTCCATTCTTGAGTAGTCATCTTGCTAGTATATAGCACACTTTGTATTAGACCATCTACCCTGCCCAAATACACCACCTTTAGGGCTTGTTGTAATGGAAATGCTACCTAATTTCTTGGTTGGGTTAAGATGACCATTCTACCTAAACCAATATTATTTCTGTGTGCTTCTGGTACCCTGCATATTTTGGTACCCTGCATATTTTCTTTTTAGGCTAAAATACTCAGCTTCATCTGGGGAAATACCAGGCCCAGTGTGGCTAGACAGATGCTATTTAAACAGAAGCTACAAGAAGACCTTGGGGTTCCCATGTCACTAGGTTATATCAAGCAGCACAGATCTCCCATTCATGTTGCTTAGATTCCTACCCTCAAGTGCCCTAACTGAAAGCATGTCACTAATGTGGAGAGATACAGATAAAATTTGTCTTTTTTAACTTTGGATAGAATGTGGAAAGGTTAGAAGCCAGTCATGTTTTATTGTTGTCTGTAAG